AAGGGCGTGGCCCCCCCCCCCCCCCCCCCGTCCCCGTGCTTCTAGGGTCACGATGTTTTCCACAGACTCTGCACTTCCTTCTGAACCAATGACTGCTGTGCCTCTCCCCGGCCCCGCCCCTCGTGCTGTGATTGACAGCAGTGCTGAGGCGCTGTGAAACGGTCCCTTTCGGAACGGGAGACAGGTCTTGTCCGTTGGGCGGTTCCTTCACCCAGCGGCCAGTGGCCACGCGAGGGGCGAGGCAGGGAGAATTGGGCCTGCTCTTTCTAACGAGCAGCGGCAGCCGTTGAGCCTCCGGGGTGCGTACCAGGAACGGCCGGCCTGTGTGGGCCGTGCGTGGCGCACCCGCGAATGGCTTTGAAAGCGGGTTATATTTCCAGGCAAAGGCTTAAAGCCGGTGGTTTGGGATGGTGGGTGGAGAAAAGCAGGAAATCCCCAGGTTATTTTTGCCAGTTTTTCTGGGTAGCACAAGCTTTCGATTCCCATTTCCTGGGAGAACGGACGTAGACAAGGCCACAGTGAGATGGGCCAAGGAAAGAAAGGGACGAACGTGACGTTGGCTGTGACCCGCCGTTTCTCAGGCTAGATTGAGCTTTGTAAGCGACTCTCTCTTTGCTACATGCAAACGGCCGAAATTTGGTGCTGAAATACATTCCGGGCAATCTATGGACACGAATGCTTGAGAGTAACCTGAGAAAGGGGCTGTAGAAAGAGAACAGCTCTGAGAACCTCTGAGGCCCGGCGTGTGCGCCCCAACGCTAAGCAGTGTAATTGGACGTGTGGCGGTACGGCCGGGTGAGCAGCTATGGGAACGCAAACACGCTAAACAACAAAACACACAAATTACTCAGCAGAGCAACATGGAGCCGGGGGGGGGGAAGTGTTAACACACCTGCAGGCGGATGTCTGCGGGGATCTCTTACGAGAGGATTTATCGGGTGTTTCTCGAGTCCCTGTGGGGCTGAAGGCAGGCGGCGGGGTGGTGCAGGAGTCAGAGCAGGGGGCTGGGGGCAGGGTGTCGTGTGCGTGCAGGAGCCAGGGCAGGCGTGGGGGGCTCAGGGCAGGGGACTGGGAGGGCTGCCCAGGGCAGTGCTGGCTCCATGGGACTGCCCGGTGTGCAGGGGCCGTGCTGGATTGCCGGAGTCTGCTTCCCAGGGCTGCCTGGGGCTGCGCTGACCGGCCTGCAGAGGCCAGTGACAGGGCCTGCTTTGCCCAGGCGCTAGCAGCTCCCCAGGGCGGCGGGGGGCTGGCTGGCCAGTGGCTGCTCCCTGGGGCTGGTGGGGGCTACACTGTCCGTCCGGGCTCCCTCCCCCCTCCCAGTGCTAGCAGAGCCCGGCCTTGGTGCTTGATGAGCAACAGTCCCATTCCTGGCACATGCCCGTTTCCTGGCCCAGCCCACCGTCCTCGCTTTACGGCACGACAGGAGGAAGCTGCCGACCGAGGCTGGGTCCCAGCTCTCAGGAGGAGTTCTTCTACGAAGGTGACGGGTTGTAACAGCAGGCGGCACGTTTCTCTGAACCCCGCACAGTGTTGGGTAACTCGGGATGCCTCAGAACTCTAGGACCGTGGTTTATACCGGGGCCAGGCAAACCATTCGCAAACTTTTGGTGGATCGGCAACATTTTATTTGCATATTCATTATGCAAACGATGGACATGCAACTATGCAAATAAAATGAAGGTGACGGGTTGTAACAGCAGGCGGCACGTTTCTCTGAACCCCGCACAGTGTTGGGTAACTCGGGATGCCTCAGAACTCTAGGACCGTGGTTTATACCGGGGCCAGGCAAACCATTCGCAAACTTTTGGTGGATCGGCAACATTTTATTTGCATATTCATTATGCAAACGATGGACATGCAACTATGCAAATAAAATGGTACCAGTCCGCCAAAAGCCCTGGGCCCCAGTGCTAGCCCTAACCTCTAGAGCCTCCCACCCCTTCACTACCCCCCAGCGCCCGCCACTGCCCCAAGAGTCCCCTGCACCCAACCCCCCCCAGTGCCACCCCCATCCCAAATGCCTTAGTACATAAGAACATAAGAACGGCCGTACTGGGTCAGACCAAAGGTCCATCTAGCCCAGTAGCCTGTCTGCCCACAGTGGCCAGCACCAGGTGCCCCAGCATCCCATCGCCCAGTGCCCCCCCGTTTCACTGGCCTGCCTGCGAGCGAGGGAGGGGTCGAGATGTTCTCGGCCCGGGGGCGAGCGGCTGCATGCCGCAGCTGAGAGGTGAGCTCCGTGGAAGCACCGGGATGAATCCGGGCACTCTTGCGCAACACAGAATGGGAGGAAGCGCCACCCCGTGCCGGAAAACGCACCCGCCACCTAGCCGCTGGGGGCCGGCCTGTCACTGCGCAGTATGGGGGAGTTGGGCCCGTGGAGGCCACCGTGGTCGAACTAACCCCGGGGTCCAGTCTATTGAATCGTTATGGGTGAGTATTAACGCTTCCTAAGTGTTAACACTGGGAATTAAAACTAGCTGGCTCGTTGTGTAACCCACGGGGCCTGCTAGAGATGGTAAATGAAACCCCAGGGACCCCTCGCCGCTGTTAAAGAGAAATACAGCTGTTTCCAAAGCGCTGGATGGAGTCAGCTGCCCTAATTGCATCCAATTTCTGCTCTTAATCTCAGCGGGGTGAAAGTGCCTCTCCGGTCTCTCCCGGGGGATCAAGGCCTCGGTGCTAAATATTGACACTTGTAATGAGGGAAAGGCAGAGTTGTGAGCAAACCCTAACACTGGCCCGGGGATTAGGGCCTAAAAACGCCGAGCAATCAATAATCTGGGAAGTGGCCAAGTGTTCGGTAGCACTTCCCTGGGCCCGAATGCATTTGGTTTTACCTAGTGGTGTTTTTCCCCTTTCTGGGCTCTTTGAAGTTGAGATCAAATAATCAGCGTTCGCTTTAATGTGCAAATTCTGCTTACTTGATTTCAGAAAAGAGAGAGTAGAAACCGCAGCCCTTCCCACTCTGGATATTAGTCAGATGATGGGCCTCGCTCCCAGCTCGGAGAAGTCATTTCGCTCATTAGTTGGCAGGAAATCGGGAATAATTCCGTTTTGTTGATAATGTGCCGTCTTTGATAAATGCTAATTATTAATTAATTACCCTGTTTTGCGGCTGGCCCTGTGGCGCAGATGGCAAAGCTCGGGAGACCTGCTTCCGAATGAGACGGCTCCGAGTCTGCAGCCGCCCCCAGGAGCTCCAGTTGCTCGGCCTAGCATGGGGGGGCAGTGCTGGACCCAGGAGCCCAGAGAACGCGAGGGCATTCAGAACCTCTCGGGCGCACTCTGTGCTTTGTAGGGTTGCGCCTGGGGCCCCGATTCACACAAGCGCCCCTGTTCAGCAAAGCGCTTCATGGATCGGCTTGAAACACGCGCCTCGAATGCAGCACGTGCCGCGGCGCTCTCCTGGCAGCGCTAGGCCAGAGGGGCGGTAGCTTGGGTCGCGCTGCGTGAAGCGCTGCAGGGAGCTGGGCACGTTGAGCTGCGAAGCGAGGGCTGGCACACAAAATGTGAGACGTGACGGGGGCTCTGGCAGGGTGGGATGGAAGCGCGAGGTTGCTCCACCTCGTCTTTCCTTTGCGTCAGCAGCCCTGTGGCTTGCCAAGCCGCGTTGCTGGCAGCCTGTGGGAACCGGCTAGAGACTGGCACCGCCTGTGTGTGGCGCTGCCCAGCAGCCTCTCGCGTTCTGCCGCAGGCTTGCCGTTCCTTTCCGTTGGCTTACAATTCTGTAGAAAGGCACCACATTCTGTAGTGGCTTAGCTGACTGTACCTTTTAGAAATGTGCGTCCGTCTGTCTGCCCGCCCACCTGTCCGTGAGTCTGCTTGCTCAGGAACACCTCCTGAGTGGTGAGAGCTAGGGACCACCCTGGGAGGCGGCTTCCTCCTGACCTAGCTTAAAGCAAGGGCAGGGTTTGGTTGTGCCTGGACAATGGGATGTACCTAGAATGGGATTGTTTCCCATCAGATGGAAAGGGAGGGTCTGGCAGGAGGGACAGTTATACTGCAGAATGACCACAGGGGGCAGCAAAGGGGCAGAGATGGGCACTGGGACAGCTCTTACCCCATTGGGCCTACATGGAGCAGAGGTGGAGAGAGAAACAACTAGCTGCCATATATTTCAGAGTTTGTCTAACTGTCTGCCCCCCCAGCCGGGGGACATGCGCCCCTCCCCTGGCTGTGCCCACTGCAGTTGTCCTCTCTCCCCGGGCAGCCTTCATCCTGAGCCCTCCTCCCCAGCCCCACCCCAAAGCAATGATGTAAATGAAGAAAAACAAAACATATTTGAATTAAGGACCTGAGCAACGCCGGATAAATCCTCTAGTATTCTATTCCGTTCAAATCACTTCTCTAGGAACCTGTTTAATTACTGCAGGGGCGTTAATCCACTGTAATGTCTGTAGGGCTTTCTGGGAAGGGATATGGAAGAAATATTTCCTGTTCGAGGTTCTGTCAGGATCCCCGTTACCCATGAGTCTAACAGCCTTGGCAGGATGGTCTTTGCGTATTTGGCAACCTGGAGAAGTTTTGTTCTGATGTTTTCACACAGCTGCCCCCATGGGACAAAAGCTGATTCAACTTCTAACTCCACCCACCTTCTTCTGCCACGTCTCTCTTGTCCTGAGACTTCTCCTTTGCCTCCTCTTTGCAATAACCGCTCTGCCCCAGAGGCACCGTGCTCTCAAGCCCTAGTGCAGCATGTTGAACAGAACGGGTTGATTCCTTGTGGAGTAATGTTTTAATAACAAATGTTTTTTTCCCAACCAGGAGATGTTCGTGGCTAGCTCTTTTCAGTTTTGTGTGTTGGTTTATGGTGTTTTCTCCCCTCTCCACCCTCTTTTCCTGCCCTATTTTCAGTGGCAGGATGGGAAAAGGGGGGGAGAGGAAAAGAAGAAAGGAGGGAGGAAGGTTGTTTAAAAACCTAAACATTTTTGAAAATGACAATTTTATAACCCTAAAATGTTCATGCAACATGGTGAACACACGATCACTTATCTTCGAGCGGTTGCCCAGTTTTCAGTGTCGTATCTGGCAGCATTTCTTGCCTAGAGCTGATATATCCCTATTTCCCATGTTTGTAAAATATCTTGGGATAAAATAAGTGCAGCCTACATCACCAGTACGTTATAATGCATGGCCCTGGTTTATCCGGTGGGCGCATGCGACCCTTTTGTGGTCTTTTTACTAGAGCATCTTTAGTGCTTTCTCACTAGAGGCAGAATCAACACCGTCTGTTCCCACGCTTGTCATTGAAAGCGGGACCGGGGACCGATTCTCAGTCGCAAGATTTGATCAAATTGGAGGGACTGGCTGGTGCACGCATGTGCCAGGACTTAGCTCGCCCACGTATCTTCCCTCGCTGCGCTTGTGCCGAGCTGTCCCACAGGGCCGGCGGGGGACCTAGTGAGCCGCTTGCTTTCCCGTGTCTCTCTAGATTGCCTCCTTGCTGAAAGATAACGAGCGCATCCAGTCCGCTCAGAGCAGCGCGCCGAATGACGACGACAGCGACATCAAGAAAATGGGTTACGGGCACCTTCCCAGGAGCTGCAGCTAACCCTGGCTCTGGGAACATGCTACCGCGGGAATGGACACTGGACTGGAGAGGTAGTTCAGGGCGGGGAGCGTGGTCTTTGCTCCCTGCCGCAGCCGGGCGCTGTGACGAGCCACCCTCACTGTGAATTCACGCAGGGGGCTGTGCCTGGCCACTCTGCAGAGCCTTGCATTTCGTGGGTTGCCGCCTTCTGGGCTGACCTCTTCTGCAGCGGGGAGGGTGCGTCACCCCTAATGGGGCCACCGCGGCGCCCCTCCTTCCGTCTCCCCGTTTCAGGGCAGCAGGGGCCTGTGCAAAGCAGGAGACTGTGTTGACCTGAGCGGTGCTGGCAGAGAACAAACCGTCCTTTGGCGCAAGTGCTGTTTGTACCTGCTCTGAGATTCTAAAGCCACCAGCCGGGGAACAGCCGTGGGGGCTGGAATTAGGGGTGCATGGGACGCTGTAGCACCCCAGGTTTTGCACGCACCTTCCCCACGCCTGGGGAATTCCCCCTCACTGTTAACCCCCCACTGGCTTTGGCAGCCCCAGGTCCTGGCCCTCGGGCAGCCCCCCACGGGTCCTGCTGGGGTCCCACCAGCACCACCGGCTTTGCCGCCCCCAGGATTCCACCAGCCCTTGGGATCCACAGCTCACCGGCTCTGCCAGCTCTGGGGTCCCACCGCCAGCCTGGTGCTCTGCTCTTGGCCTCAAACCGGGACTCAGCAGCTGCCCCCGGCTCTGGCCCAGCCTGGGGAGGCCAAGGGCTGGAGTTGCCAACTCTCCTGGACTGCACAGCCCGAATGCCACGGCCTTGTTCCGGTCCGGAGAGATGACCGCCGTCGGAGGGGCACGGCCAGGTCGGGGGGGGGCGTAAATCAGCTCCCCCCCATCGTAAGAAGGCACGGAGAGCATCTTGGGTTAACCCCATCTGCCCACAAAGCCGCCCCCGCCTCTTCCTGGGATCGGGTTCCACCTGCCCCGGCCCTGCAGTTTCCCCTCCGAGGGGCACCCTTCACCTGCTGCACCTTCCGCTTGCAGGGGCGCAGAGATGTGGCGGAGGCTCGCTACGGATCTGGGGGGGTTAGTGTGTGTACACGGGTCACAGGCTTGCTGTGTTTAGCGTAGCAGATCTGTCTCCTTACATCACTGTGGGGGGCAGGGGCGGGTGCCAGCCTGCTGGTGATTGGTCAGTGGGTAGCCGGCTGGATCCGTGCGAGGTGCCCAGCAGGGTGGGTGTTCCCAGACCCTTGCAGCCCTGCTGGGAGGGGAGTGCCCTCTGGTACGCGCGCAGTGGAGGGTCAAGTGCTACCGGGGGTTTCTGTTCCTATGAGAATGAGACTCGCGCTGGTCTCTGTGAAGGGGATCGCGAGCCGCAGGAGCCTGGAGGCGAGTTATTGTCCGGTCCCCGGCAGGGAGGCTGCACAGAGGCCCAGATCCCAGAAAGCCTGATGGACGTTCCCGCTCAGCCCGGCGTGTGCCCTTGGCACCCCGCTTTACAAGTGCAGTGGGGTGGAGCCGCCCCGCGAGCTCGGCCGCCAGACGCGCTGTCCGGTCCTGGCGCCCCGCGGCCAGGCGAGCGCCCGCTGACGAGCCCGCTGCCCTCTTCGCAGGTGCAGAGCTTCCTGCGGGGCTGGCTGTGCAGGCGGAAGGGGAAGACCATCATTCAGGACTACATCCGGTCCCCGCACGCCGCCAGCATGAGGAAGAGGAACCAGGCGGTCTTCAGCATGCTGGAGGCCGAGGCTGAGTACGTGCAGCAGCTGCACATCCTGGTCAACAACTTCCTGCGCCCGCTGAGGATGGCGGCGAGCTCCAAGAAACCGCCCATCACCCACGACGACGTCAGCAGCATCTTCCTCAACAGGTGAGGGCTGCACTCGGGCCCCTCGCGGGGGGGAGCGCCCGGAGGGAGGAGGGGCGGGGGGTGGGCTCGGTTGCCCTCCACATCTGGCTGCCTGGCGCCTGCAGGGGCTTTTGCTGGGTGTAGCGCGCCCGGCGCCAGTGGCTGTCCGGCCAAGGAGCGCGCTGGCAGGGCAGGGCTGTCAACGGAGTCTCTGCCCTGCCGTGGAGTGTCGGCCGCGCTGAGGCCCTCCGGCAGGCCTGCACAGCCCCCAGCGTGCCCGAGGGCCGGGCCCACGGCAGAGCGCTCTGCAGCCACGGCGCCCTCAGGGTGGGAGCAGGCCCGGGGGGCGGAGGAGCGAGCAGGCTCTCGACGGACTCTTGGCCGCCTGCATCGGGCCTTTTCGGCATGGAACCAGATTTAGACTTTCCTCGGAGGGACACCCCTGCCCATCCCCCATCCTTTTCTTACCGACCCGTGTGAGGATGAGTCGGGGTTCCCCCGACCCTGCACCCCGTAGCAGCAAGAACAGACTCCGCCAGCAGTAGAAGAGCGAGGTTCTATTGCACAGCATAGACATGGTGTGTTTACAGGATTCGGGGCCCCCTTGGGTTAGGGGCCCATCACCCCAGCCCTCAGCCCCAGCAACCTCCGTCTGTCTCCCTGACGGTTCCAGCCCCAGACTGCCCCTTCCCCCAACACCCACTTCCCTAGTGCCCTGGCTGCTCCAACTCCTCTGGCCGCTTGGGTCTTCCTGTATGTGACTTAGGCAGCTCCCCCGCCCCCGCTGGGCCGTGCTCACAGGCAGAGGCCAGTAGGGGTCAGTCACAGCCCAACACAGCGACCAGCCAGGTACTGACACTGCAGCACCACACGTGGGAATTGCACCTCACCACGCAGGGGGACCCCGGGGTACAGAGCAGACCCCCCCACGCCACACTCGGAAAGAACTTCTGGCCTCCCACCCGGGGCAGCGTGCGGGCAGGGGGTGAACACAGCCCCGGCCTTGAGGAGCGGATACCCAGAAGCCTGGACGCTTCCCTGATTTGCTGCAAGGTGCCTCTCAGACCAAAGGTTTCCCTGGTTGTGGGGTGGCTCCCGCGCTTGCATCAGTGCCACCCGCGTTCCAAGCGTAAACAAGCTTTCTTACGGCTCGGTCCCCGGCAGGACGGGTGGGGAGGGGCCGCGTTCCCGGGACGCCGTGCGCATGTGCGGCCGCACAGGAGAGGTTCCAGTGCTAGCAGGGCGCCCCCAGCTGGTTTGTGTTTCTGCTTGTGGTGCACATCAGCACAGGCTTCGGTGCATTAACAAAATGTATTCCCCACATGGGTGGAAAAATCCACGCACCGATGGAAAAGATTAGAGGGAACCTGGGGAGAGGGACCTGGTATCTAACTGGGAGAATGTCAGTTAGCTCCTGCCCCAGCAGGCAGTCCCAGTGTGCCAAGGGTCAGCTGTGTGTGGAGAGGCAACTTCTTGGCAGTGACTGTGTCTTCATGCGCTAATTGGCCAGGGCAGGGCCCCTGTGTTTCAAGGGGAGGTTTCTGTGCCAGCTACTCTGTCCTGCGCCTGAGACAGAGCCCGGGGCTGCAAGCGGAAGGAGCGCTGTTGGGTTTCCGGGGGCGTTAGGCAAGAGAGCTGAGGCTCACCAGAGAAGAGGCCCGGGTTGTGTTCAGCCTGCTGTCGGCAGAGGCAGAATCCGCTCCGCAGCTGCCCAGTCGCGGGCGGGAAGGAGAAAGCTGGCAGGCCTGCGTGGCACAGGGCAGGCCCAGTCTCTCCGCTCCAGCCTGCACACGGAGCCAGCAGCGCCCACGCGGAGCGATCCGGCCACAGGCCTGGCTGCGGAGGGACAATTAAGATGCTTCAGTCCAGCGTGGACCATGGCACGGCAGTGTGCCCCGTTTACTAGCTCCCGGGCAGTTAATCCGAGAGGCCTGCTGAGCTGGGCAGGCCTTGCCCAAGAGAAGTTTGGCTGCCTGAGGAGAGGGCACGAAATCCGGAGCCCGCCTCGGGACTGGAGGAGCCTGGACATCGGGGCTCTCGCCCCAGCGGCGTGTCGGCGTGAGGGACGTGCACTCTCCAGCAGGTGGCCCAGGAACCTACGGCCCCTCACGGGGGCGTTTCCCATCCATGCCCATGGGTGCTGAGCTCTCCCCTTCCGGCCGGCCTGGAACTGCCCCGTTCCCTGCTTCATCGCTGCTCCCGCCACCCAGAAACCGCTCGCTCGGTTGCTATGGCTACAGATGCGCTGTCTCCTTCCCAGCGTGAGGACCAGCCTGGTGGCCTTCCTTGCAGGGCCGGTTCCCTTGCCTGGGCCCAGCCTGGACTGGGCTTGGACCAGCCAAGTCCTCACAGCACCCCAGGGCAGGGAGCACCCGAAGGCCGGAGATGGGCGCAGGCAACAGAATCCCCCCCAAAGCTCCCTGCCTCTTTGGAGCTCAGTTTGGCCCGTTCCAGAGAAGCTGCAGTTTGGCCCAGGCGCGTGGCCTGAGCTCTCCCAAACTCCGCGGCTGTTCACATCCCGGGTTTTGATTCAGGGCCGTCTTTAAGTGCAGACGAAACGCACTTTCAACCCTCGCGTGGCTCATGCCGCTGCCTTTGGGACGCGTGCGAGGGGGGCACTGGAACAGCGCAAGCTGCTTCAGAGACGCACGGGGCTCACCCGAGCGCTGCCTGTGTCCTGGGAGCCTGGACACGCCGTCCATTGGCTGGGGCGCCCTGGGTAGGGCAGTCGGGACGGCGCCGAGGGGAGAGAGCGCAGAGCGCCCGGGACGGGCCAGAGAACCGGAGCTGAGTGAGCTGGGAGAGCAGCAGGGAGCAGTTAGAGACGCTGGCAGCGTGTTCCGAGGCCCCGGGGCGTAGGAGAGTGCGCCTGGGGGCCCGGTTGGAGTCCACACCTAGGGGTCCCCTTGTGCCCCCCCAGACTCCCATGCAGGAAGGATGCAGAACTCACTCTGCGGCTCCTGCTCTGGTGCTGCGGGCCTGCGCCCCGAGCTAGCTGTGCTGCAGCAGGGAAGAACAGCCGTCCGGGGCTCCTGGGACCGGCCGCCCGAGCTCTGCCCCGTGCCGAGGGACGGGAGAGGGTCGGTCCACAGCCAGCCGTAGGGAAAACGGCACCCCTCCCTATGATCTTCCTTCGGGCCGGGCGTAGGTGAGGGGTGAGTGGGACTTGTAGCCTCCTCAATGAGATCTGCTCCATGTTAGCCCACTAATTGACAGCTGCTTTATTTTATGGGTCTCTCTTCTATAGATGTGAGTAGGCTGGTAACGCAAGGTGCCTGCAGAATTCATACAGCCAGCCGTAGGGAAAACGGCACCCCTCCCTATGATCTTCCTTCGGGCCGGGCGTAGGTGAGGGGTGAGTGGGACTTGTAGCCTCCTCAATGAGATCTGCTCCATGTTAGCCCACTAATTGACAGCTGCTTTATTTTATGGGTCTCTCTTCTATAGATGTGAGTAGGCTGGTAACGCAAGGTGCCTGCAGAATTCATTGCTTAGAAGAGCAGTGTAGTGGTTAGCCAGTATTTGGTATTTTCCTTGTAATTTTCCGTAAGAGAGGTGAAGCAAGAGTTTGCGGTTGGCTAATAGTCTGGTCTTTAATTCTGCCCAGAATCTGCAAAGCAATCAGCTAGCTTGGTGATAACGGTCAGGTCAAAGCTCCTGCGCAATTCATGCCAGATGTTCAAGCCCAAAACCGCAGCGTCCCGCCTTTTCTTGGTGGTCCTGGGAGGTCATCCGAGAAAGTGTCCGTCGGATCTCATGAATATTTGAGTTTCCCTGAATATTTTCTCCAATTAGAAATGGTACCCTCAGAAATCTTAGGGTGCGAGGCCCAGCGATGGACAAGGGGCTGAACATCTGCGGCATTTTGGTGCCAAAAGGGGTATTTAGGCCTAGGGATTTGGGAAGTCGGGGCTGCTGCTTCAGTTGTCACTGACACAGCCCACTCCGGAGCGCTTTTATCTTGTCAGGCCAGAAACCACAGAGGTGTGGATCTCGTCTGTTTCTTTACTGCTTTCTTGCTTCTTTAATTTTGCTTTAGTTTGCTCCTAGGAATTTCCCTCCTACCTACTCCAAGGCAAGGGTGGCTCCCCCTCCCTGTCCAGCCTTGCGGGTGGGTAGGGAATATTGTTATATGATTACTCTTGATGTACTTAGATACGTTTAATTTGATAGTGTTAATGACATCTGGGGAAGAAATCCAAGTGATTTGCATTCTTGCCGCTGTATTTATTACGGGGATCATTGTCTTCCCTTTAGCAGTAGAACTGTTTTCTATTTCATTTCCTGAGTTAAGGTGTGATTGCTGTCGGTCCCCTGCCCACCCTCAAGAGGGGGAATTTAATGGTTCCACTGCATTGTAACCTGGGCTAGAGGACAAACTTAGATTTTCTGGTCAGATTGGCGAGCCTTTCCCATTCACATTTTACTAAAACTCCTTCCCAGGCTGCGTATTTGGTGAGCCAGCCAGGAGCTGAGACAGGCATCGACGGACAATCTTAAAATCCAAACCCTAGATCAGGTGATCTGGCACAGTGCGGAAAGAGTTAAGTGTTCAGTGCGAAAGCAAAGTGCGGTTTGCGTTTTTGATTGATTTCGCTAGTTAGGCTGTGTGCCAGGACCGTGGGGAACCAAGGAAATCTGACCTCAGGTTGTGGTTAACCTGTTAAAACATCGGTAATTTGGATGCGCCTGTTAAGGGGGATTTTGTTATTTGTTAATTGGCCATTAATTAGTTATTGATAAGTGGTTGTGTCCGGATCCGACAACCCGTCCTGTGTGACGGCGGCGGGGGGAGGCAGGGCCCTGAGGGGACCACCAGCAGGCCCCCAGAAGCCCCACAGACCCGCGGAGTGGCGTGGAGAGTGTGTGCAAAGCCAGGCGAGCAGCATGGCCGCCTGGCAAAGAAAGACTGTAAGAGGGGCCCAGACGGCTGAGCTCCGGGGCTGGGGGCAGGGACAGCAGCAGGAAGGGCCCGGCGAGGGGACCGGTCGGAGGAACGGCTGGCAATGAAACCAGGGCGAAGGGAGATGAGGGAGGCGCAGCAGAGGGAGCAGAAATTGCCGAGGGAAGGAGAAAGCCGGAGCAGGAGAGGAAGTTCCCGTCCGCCCCCCGCCTGCGGGCGGGAGGAAGAGAGCTGGCTGCTCCCGAAGCAGACTCCCGCGCAGAGGGGAGCCGGGCGGCGCAGGGGGATGCGCTCATGAGGGAGCCAGGCCCCGGGCACAGGGAATCCGGTAGCGGGGGGACGAGTGATGGCTCAGTGGGGAGTTCCTCAGGCAGCCCGTGGAGGGAAGTCGTGACTGACGCAAACTGATTAGGGGGCTTTGAAAGCGGGTGGCACGGCCTGGGGGGCTGTGGAGCAGGTGCAGGGTCACCATGCAGCCTCCTGCTCCCTAACCCTCACTGTGCCAGCCCCCCCACCCGTGGGGCTACGCTCTCAGCTGGCGGGGGCTGGGCTGCTCCCAGGGAACCGGTTAGCCATCCCCTCGTACGCTCTGGGGCGAGCAGTGAGTGGCTGGGGGGGGGGGCCCCCCCCCCCCCCCCCCGCTGCGCTGCGTCCCCCTCCCCGCCCTCTCCGGAGGGAGCAGCAGCCACTCAACTCAGGAAAGGCCCCAGCCCAGGTTTCCCGGTTGTGGGGCACGGCTGGTGTCTGTTGCTAGGGCGTGGCCCGGGAATCCGTGTCTCCTCACTGAAACAGAGCAGGCCAATGGCTGGTGCCCCGTTCTCTATTGGGCATGGCGTTGCAGACTCGCTGCGTCCCCCTCCCCGCCCTCTCCGGAGGGAGCAGCAGCCACTCAACTCAGGAAAGGCCCCAGCCCAGGTTTCCCGGTTGTGGGGCACGGCTGGTGTCTGTTGCTAGGGCGTGGCCCGGGAATCCGTGTCTCCTCACTGAAACAGAGCAGGCCAATGGCTGGTGCCCCGTTCTCTATTGGGCATGGCGTTGCAGACTCTACCCAGGCGTGGCGTTGCGCACTGACCCCAGTGTGGTGTTGCACACTTACCCACACGTGGAATTGCACACTTACCCACATATGGCATTGTGCACTCTACCCAGGCGTGGCATTGCACTCTAAGCTGGGCGTGGCATTGCACACTCTACCCTGGTGTGGCCTTCCACACTGACCCCGGGCGTGGCGTTGCACACTCTACCCAGGCATGGCGTTGCACACTTACCTGCGCTTGACGTTGCACACTCTACCCCGGCATGGCATTGCACTCTAAGCTGGGCGTGGCATTGCACACTCTACCCTGGTGTGGCCTTGTGCACTGACCCGCGGGCGGCCTTGCATACTCTACCCTCGTGTGGCCTCGTGCACTGACCCCAGGCGTGGCGTTGCGCGCTGACCCCGGGCATGGCGTGGGGCGCTGCCCCCGGGCGTGGCGTGGGGCACTGACCCCGGGCGTGGGGTTGCGCGCTGACCCCGGGCATGGCGTGGGGCGCTGCCCCCGGGCGTGGCGTGGGGCACTGACCCCGGGCGTGGGGTTGCGCGCTGACCCCGGGCATGGCGTGGGGCGCTGCCCCCGGGCGTGGCGTGGGGCACTGACCCCGGGCGTGGGGTTGCGCGCTGACCCCGGGCATGGCGTGGGGCGCTGCCCCCGGGCGTGGCGTGGGGCACTGACCCCGGGCGTGGGGTTGCGCGCTGACCCCGGGCATGGCGTGGGGCGCTGCCCCCGGGCGTGGCGTGGGGCACTGACCCCGGGCGTGGGGTTGCGCGCTGACCCCGGGCATGGCGTGGGGCGCTGCCCCCGGGCGTGGCGTGGGGCACTGACCCCGGGCGTGGGGTTGCGCGCTGACCCCGGGCATGGCGTGGGGCGCTGCCCCCGGGCGTGGCGTGGGGCACTGACCCCGGGCGTGGGGTTGCGCGCTGACCCCGGGCATGGCGTGGGGCGCTGCCCCCGGGCGTGGCGTGGGGCACTGACCCCGGGCGTGGGGTTGCGCGCTGACCCCGGGCATGGCGTGGGGCGCTGCCCCCGGGCGTGGCGTGGGGCACTGACCCCGGGCGTGGGGTTGCGCGCTGACCCCGGGCATGGCGTGGGGCGCTGCCCCCGGGCGTGGCGTGGGGCACTGACCCCGGGCGTGGGGTTGCGCGCTGACCCCGGGCATGGCGTGGGGCGCTGCCCCCGGGCGTGGCGTGGGGCACTGACCCCGGGCGTGGGGTTGCGCGCTGACCCCGGGCATGGCGTGGGGCGCTGCCCCCGGGCGTGGCGTGGGGCACTGACCCCGGGCGTGGGGTTGCGCGCTGACCCCGGGCATGGCGTGGGGCGCTGCCCCCGGGCGTGGCGTGGGGCACTGACCCCGGGCGTGGGGTTGCGCGCTGACCCCGGGCATGGCGTGGGGCGCTGCCCCCGGGCGTGGCGTGGGGCACTGACCCCGGGCGTGGGGTTGCGCGCTGACCCCGGGCATGGCGTGGGGCGCTGCCCCCGGGCGTGGCGTGGGGCACTGACCCCGGGCGTGGGGTTGCGCGCTGACCCCGGGCATGGCGTGGGGCGCTGCCCCCGGGCGTGGCGTGGGGCACTGACCCCGGGCGTGGGGTTGCGCGCTGACCCCGGGCATGGCGTGGGGCGCTGCCCCCGGGCGTGGCGTGGGGCACTGACCCCGGGCGTGGGGTTGCGCGCTGACCCCGGGCATGGCGTGGGGCGCTGCCCCCGGGCGTGGCGTGGGGCACTGACCCCGGGCGTGGGGTTGCGCGCTGACCCCGGGCATGGCGTGGGGCGCTGCCCCCGGGCGTGGCGTGGGGCACTGACCCCGGGCGTGGGGTTGCGCGCTGACCCCGGGCATGGCGTGGGGCGCTGCCCCCGGGCGTGGCGTGGGGCACTGACCCCGGGCGTGGGGTTGCGCGCTGACCCCGGGCATGGCGTGGGGCGCTGCCCCCGGGCGTGGCGTGGGGCACTGACCCCGGGCGTGGGGTTGCGCGCTGACCCCGGGCATGGCGTGGGGCGCTGCCCCCGGGCGTGGCGTGGGGCACTGACCCCGGGCGTGGGGTTGCGCGCTGACCCCGGGCATGGCGTGGGGCGCTGCCCCCGGGCGTGGCGTGGGGCACTGACCCCGGGCGTGGGGTTGCGCGCTGACCCCGGGCATGGCGTGGGGCGCTGCCCCCGGGCGTGGCGTGGGGCACTGACCCCGGGCGTGGGGTTGCGCGCTGACCCCGGGCATGGCGTGGGGCGCTGCCCCCGGGCGTGGCGTGGGGCACTGACCCCGGGCGTGGGGTTGCGCGCTGACCCCGGGCATGGCGTGGGGCGCTGCCCCCGGGCGTGGCGTGGGGCACTGACCCCGGGCGTGGGGTTGCGCGCTGACCCCGGGCATGGCGTGGGGCGCTGCCCCCGGGCGTGGCGTGGGGCACTGACCCCGGGCGTGGGGTTGCGCGCTGACCCCGGGCATGGCGTGGGGCGCTGCCCCCGGGCGTGGCGTGGGGCACTGACCCCGGGCGTGGGGTTGCGCGCTGACCCCGGGCATGGCGTGGGGCGCTGCCCCCGGGCGTGGCGTGGGGCACTGACCCCGGGCGTGGGGTTGCGCGCTGACCCCGGGCATGGCGTGGGGCGCTGCCCCCGGGCGTGGCGTGGGGCACTGACCCCGGGCGTGGGGTTGCGCGCTGACCCCGGGCATGGCGTGGGGCGCTGCCCCCGGGCGTGGCGTGGGGCACTGACCCCGGGCGTGGGGTTGCGCGCTGACCCCGGGCATGGCGTGGGGCGCTGCCCCCGGGCGTGGCGTGGGGCACTGACCCCGGGCGTGGGGTTGCGCGCTGACCCCGGGCATGGCGTGGGGCGCTGCCCCCGGGCGTGGCGTGGGGCACTGACCCCGGGCGTGGGGTTGCGCGCTGACCCCGGGCATGGCGTGGGGCGCTGCCCCCGGGCGTGGCGTGGGGCACTGACCCCGGGCGTGGGGTTGCGCGCTGACCCCGGGCATGGCGTGGGGCGCTGCCCCCGGGCGTGGCGTGGGGCACTGACCCCGGGCGTGGGGTTGCGCGCTGACCCCGGGCATGGCGTGGGGCGCTGCCCCCGGGCGTGGCGTGGGGCACTGACCCCGGGCGTGGGGTTGCGCGCTGACCCCGGGCATGGCGTGGGGCGCTGCCCCCGGGCGTGGCGTGGGGCACTGACCCCGGGCGTGGGGTTGCGCGCTGACCCCGGGCATGGCGTGGGGCGCTGCCCCCGGGCGTGGCGTGGGGCACTGACCCCGGGCGTGGGGTTGCGCGCTGACCCCGGGCATGGCGTGGGGCGCTGCCCCCGGGCGTGGCGTGGGGCACTGACCCCGGGCGTGGGGTTGCGCGCTGACCCCGGGCATGGCGTGGGGCGCTGCCCCCGGGCGTGGCGTGGGGCACTGACCCCGGGCGTGGGGTTGCGCGCTGACCCCGGGCATGGCGTGGGGCGCTGCCCCCGGGCGTGGCGTGGGGCACTGACCCCGGGCGTGGGGTTGCGCGCTGACCCCGGGCATGGCGTGGGGCGCTGCCCCCGGGCGTGGCGTGGGGCACTGACCCCGGGCGTGGGGTTGCGCGCTGACCCCGGGCATGGCGTGGGGCGCTGCCCCCGGGCGTGGCGTGGGGCACTGACCCCGGGCGTGGGGTTGCGCGCTGACCCCGGGCATGGCGTGGGGCGCTGCCCCCGGGCGTGGCGTGGGGCACTGACCCCGGGCGTGGGGTTGCGCGCTGACCCCGGGCATGGCGTGGGGCGCTGCCCCCGGGCGTGGCGTTGGTTGCTTATTTTCAGTGTTTCCCAGCCAGGCCGACCCTTCCAGTGCAGAACCTAGGAGACTATTCACATCTCACCACAAGGAAACGTGAACTCTTCGTCGGCTCTCGTTGTCCCTTCCTTCTCTCATCCCCTAGTCCTGAGGATTCTTCCCCTCCTCCCCCTGCGGGATTTCTCTCCTCCGTCTCCTCCTCCTTGCAGGGTGCTTTTCTGGCCTCCCCCCTTAGAAGTGCCAGGATCTGGCAAGGGTCCGGTAACTGGCTCTTGTTCAGCCGTCTCTTTGGTTTCTCTTTCAGTGAAACCATCATGTTTTTGCACCAGATCTTTTACCAAGGCCTGAAAGCCCGGATCTCGAGCTGGCCGACGCTGGTGCTGGGTGAGTAGCTGCTGTTGCTTTGTTGGATGTTCTTCGCGTGCTCCGCTGAGCCCGGCCTCTCCCTCCTCCTGGGCGCGCTCTGCTCCCGCACGGCAGTGAATTGTGGCCCATTGCTGCGCCCAGGCCTCCGTCGGTTCCGTACAGACACAGACCCCAGGGGGAACGTCTCTCCCGTGAGCGTGGGACGCGGACACGGGTCAGGTGCTGCCCGGTACAGTCAGGCCGGGCGCGGGGGAGGGCGCCACAGGCTTTGCAGCCAGCGCCCGGGCCCTGCCCTGCCCACTCGCCTGCAGCCGATTTGTTCGACATCCTGCTGCCCATGCTGAACATCTACCAGGAGTTTGTGAGGAACCACCAGTACAGCCTGCAGATCCTGGCCCACTGCAAGCAGAACCGCGACTTCGACAAGCTGCTCAAGCACTACGAGGCCAAGCCGGACTGCGAGGAGAGGACGCTGGAGACCTTCCTGAAAGCACTACGAGGCCAAGCCGGACTGCGAGGAGAGGACGCTGGAGACCTTCCTGACCTACCCCATGTTCCAGGTGAGGCGGGGCTCCCGTGGCGGGCGGGGGCGGGGCTCCC